GCGATGCCACACAATGATAGCAGGCTGGCCTTGCTTTATATACTTGCCCGTAACACTGCTGCCTATCTGCTGCACATTTCGTGTCTACGGCCTGCTGCCTTTTTCATCCATCTGATATTTAGCCTTGTGCAGGCAGCCAGCAGGGTATACATGACACAAGTTGTTACTGGAATATAACCAACTTACACATTTGGCAAGTTGTGAAATGTTATTGGGAGTCATTAAGGAGTCTTAAGGGGTTCTTGAGAGAATTAAAAGAATTAGACTGAGTAATACAAGTAAAGCACGTCTTCTCAACTTGCTATCATTTACAGCTTTACATAAACTTCATATTTTGTTTGATGGGAAGATAAAAAAAAAACACATTTGAAGATGTCCACTGATATTTCTGTTGTGGCTGAGAAAAGCATGAATGTCAACTGATTTTGAGGTTATATTGACATTTTAAGAACAACGTTTTAAAAAAAAATACTGCTCATCGAAGCTCAAGTCTACAAGGGACATTGTGTAGTAGTAGTCCTTCTGTAAATAAGATATCCATTTAAAGTACATACCTGGTACACATTGGTATCAGGAGTGACTAGAGAGACTACAACTAAGCAGCAAAAAATGGAAAACAATTGGAATAAAACAATTTGGCTGATAAACTGGCAAGTTTGAATTTGTCAGAAAAATACATCATTTTAAGACTTAAAATGAAAAATTATTTCATTTTGGAAATAATTAGACAAAATGTTTGGCATTTTTGGCATTTGGTGGGAGACTTAAATAGGTAGAAACAACTCCTCAGCTGCTTTGTCTGTCTCTCTGCATTTAGTTCTTTCAATTCATAGTCATGCTCATCCTTGCCTATCACGTGTCAGGCTTCACACTCAGCTGATCCTGTTTCTGTGGCCTTGTCTCCTAATATTTGTCTGCTTTTACTTCTTCTAGTTACTCTGATCTGAGTGTGTTCTTCTTCACGCTTTCATTTATTTAAATTCCTTAAATGCTCACACCAAAACTAGCAGTAGAGCTAAAAGTCCAACCGTGGGATCATTTGTGGTCAAAACGAACGGACATTTCACTTTGCAGCAATTCCTTATTTACATTACTCATTACTCTATTTTCACGTAAAAACTATTACACGCCCAGGAGGAGTAACTGTTCAACCGCAACTGACTTCAGTTAACAAGCACATCTTTATCTAGAGACTGCACAGCACAACATACAACTGCTGGTGGCTGATAATGTCATGAAATCAGGAGTGAGATATATTCGACAGCGGAGTTTTTCATTAGCTCGCCCATACTTCTCAAACTCCTTTTTTTCTTACTCGTCAGCTCTTTTGCCACCAGTCTGCATCTTTTCCGTCTACACTGTCTCTTCATGAGCCTCTGAGAAAACCACAGATGGAAATTACAACATGTTTGTCAAACGATTACAATTACTCTGCAAACATTTGAACTTTAATAAGATTAACCTTTTTTTTTCAGTCCAGCAAACATTTGTAAACACTCTAAATGTCATGATGTGGAGAAATAAATGCAGCATTCAGGCGCGATATTCTTTTTACAGGTCTTATAAGCAATTTCATGCTGCCTCGATTATTTCTTGTTCTCTTTTAATTTGCTCATATTTCGTGGAAAATCACATGACTGGTTTGTTTGCTGACACAGAAATTAAGCAATTTATTGTCAACAGACTTCAGCTCAAAACATTAGATCACTATATATCAGGGCTGTCAGTATTAACTAGTTAATCGTGATTAATTAAGCTCTGAAATGAATGCATACAATTTTTTACGGGACTAATCGCTTGCTTTTTTTGTCCCTTTTGTTGCACCATAAGCCTCCCTGCAGTGTCTCCCTATAGTCACAAGGAAGTTTAACACAGCTGCATCTTTGAATTTATTATTTCACTTCAAAGATACAATATGTATGTTTAATATGTTTTTCTTGTTGACAAATTACATTACCTCAAATATTTTCAACAGTAGTAAAAGCCAGAGAAATCCTTCATTTCCTTAAAGCACAACATTTTTATCGTTGACAAGGAAACACTGGATGTTGTGTCCATGCTGCTACAGAAGGAGGTGGGAACTGCTACTGAAATCTGCCGCACTGTTGCTGTAAAGTATGTGCAGCTGAATCAAAACGTCATGTAAAATATACTTGGATACATTAGCTCGTCAGCAAACATATTCTCTTCCTCAGGTCTGTTTTGCTCGTTCATCTTAACAGCGGTCAACTCGGAGTTTGTTTTAATGGGGGGTGGGGGTGGAGTAGCAGAGAGAATCAATCCCAAGATTCTATGCGAGCCTTATTTTTTGTTATTGTTTTGAATGAGAGCGCCCTGGCAGCAGAATTAAAAAAAAAACTCAAAGACAGCTCATTTGACGAGTCAAAAGTAATACCTTATGACATCAAACAGTTGAACTGTTTCAGCCTCTGGCTCAGTGTGGTTGAATTACCTGTTTTTCACTTGAGCTGTGGATTTTCCTGTATGTCTGTATTGTCTTTAGTGTACCTGTCATGTTGCCTATAGCAGATTTCCTTCAGGATTTTTAGTGTTCCTTGTCGCTGTTTTTATTTAGTGTTTGATCCGTAAAGAGCTCCTTTTTCAATGGTTAAGTTAATGTTGCCTCATTCGATCTAATAGAGGGTCCTCACTTCGTTTTAAAAGCTGAGTTTAATTCTAACAGCAAGTAAAATACTGTATTCTCACAATTTATTTGTCATGAGACATTGCAATACAGCTGTATAAATACAAATGCCTAGCTTAAGAATGCAAAAATAACGAGTTCTTATAAATTCACTGTCTTTGACAAATGGAAGCTGTAAACCATTCTGATGCCTGAACAGCCTGGTTTAAGGACGGCAATCAATAACATTGTAAATCTACACTTTGTTTATCATATTTATTTTCTTTCCTTACCATTTAATATTAGTTAACACTAATAATGTCTGAGAAGATCATCCTACAGACACACATATCTGCTGATATGATCCACAAACAGAGTACAGAACCATGTGCACTATTCTGCACATTAAAGACAATGTAAAGAAGCTTGTTCTTTAAATCAGTTTTACTTAAAGCCAATTTTATCATTAATAAGTGGCTCAAACTCGGATAATAGTACAAATCAAGTCAAAAGCCTTGTCACAATCCCATCAATTATCAAAGGAGAAGGACCCAACGATGATGTACTGAGAATACATCTCCCCGGCATAATTAGGACTTCACTCAGTAATTAGCTATCTGAAAATAATTATCATCAAAAATGTCTGATTAAAATCTCCATCAACACAAAGTCAGGAGACTGAAAGCGAGACACTGGCGACAATTTAAGGCGTGATACTTTTTCCAAAGACAGCCTCTGCAGTCGTCTCCTTTTTTCGTTTTAATTGAGCCTCAGACACCTAGGTAGTAGCTCTGATTGGATCTGAGGAGCGATGCAGCGGTGGAACAGTTGATTGAAAGTGACCTTGGTCTAATTACAGTTGGTCTAATTATAATTCTCTGATTACCACCCTGCAGGAAATGTTAGAATACGTTGCTAGTGGCCTCAGCTAATGATGTTTAGATACATGAATGATAGGAGTTATTCTGATCGGAAAAACAACAAGGTAGTGATGTGTCATCTTAAGCCCCATACATCTAGTTTAAGCTTGGTGTTGTTTTGGTGTTTAACAGGAATGTGAAATGAATAAATCAATTAAAACAGAAGTGTTTGCCTTTTAAAAGCTACTTAGCTCAATCTATTTCTATTCTCCACTATCTGTTTTTCTCCAGCCCTCTCCTCTCCTCTCCTCTCTGTCCGTTCCCCCGGGCTGAGGTCGTGTTGCCCTCCAGCTCCCTTCCTCAGAGCCGGGATGACATCATCACATAGCCGCCTCGTCCTTGGGAATGCCTATTCATCATTCTGATCATCATTGCCAGCATCAGCAGCATCACCTGCGTATGCACACACGCATTTACACACGCACATACACCTATACTGCGAGAAGATAAAAGGGAAGGGAGATGCCTCTAGTTCTGCAAGATTACAGGCCTGAAGTGAAAGAGGGAAAGAACCACAAAGATAGAGGGAGAGAGAGAGAGAGAGAGGGGGGGGGGGGTACAATCCTGCTGGGGTAGGCAGAAACCCCTGACCTGTGCTCCTCCAACAATACATCTCAATAAACCACAGAACAGCCAAATGTGATGAGTCAGACTCAGGCTACAGGGGGAAAACAACAACATAAAGAGGAGAGAAACCCACCCCTCTTCCTCCACCAACTTTCAACTTCTTGGGAAGAGAGCTGCACCTCCTCTCTCTTCGTCACCAGCTAATCTAAAACTTCTCTTTGGCACCGCTCACTGTATTCCTGTTACTGGATGGTGCATGACTGAACAAACCCATGCCTCTATGTGTGGGAATAACAGCAGTGAAGTGAAGCCACACTAAGAAAACACAGCAATAAACAAAGTTTCCAGCACATGGGCCAGTGTCTCCCTGCCCATGTGTGCTTGCGAGTGAAATGCGCTCACGATACTTTACGAGGATCTGTGTGTGTGTGTGTGTGTGTGTGTGTGTGTGTGTGTGTGTGTCTAACATTCGGAAAGATTTAGCACTATGTACAGACAGATAAATCCATGAAAGTGTGAAGGAAATGCTGTTTCTTCCTGCTTCTTTTCACAATGACTTGTTCACATTTTCAGGTAATACTTATTTCATGTCAGCATCAGGGATTGTCAGAATCTACATCCAAAAATATATCCAAGTCTGTTTTAATATTCCAAAGAGCAACTCATTTCATGCAGCTTCTTATTATCACAAAGTCAGTCAAGGCAAAGGACAGAGCATGTTATGTAGCTGGCAGTCGGCTCCCTTAGACTCAAGCAACGGCCAAACTTGGTTGTTTACTGAAAAATGTGTGTTTCTATATATACAGCATCTTTAAGCGTATAGTCTTGTAATAATCCGAGCAAGCTGTAGGGCCAGAACGAAAAAAGGGGCTACATGGGTGCAGACTCACATAGTCATGGAAGGCCTTGGCCTCACTCGAGTGTTCACATGTGTCTCTTCTCTCTGGAGCCGCACAGTACAGGTCCCAGAAAACACTACAACAAAAAGAGTAACAGTCAGAGACAAAAATGACAAAAGAATAGAAACATCAAAGCTAAGAGATAAATCTCAGTCGTTCATACGGTATAAGATGCAGGGCAATATGGCTACAGTAGAGGCAATAAGAAGGGTTTTATAATCATCATTTGAATTCGAATCATCAGATGACTTCAGTTGAGTGTAGTAAAATTTGCAACTAGGAACCTGAAGAAGACAATTAATGAGAGGAAATGAAAACCCAAGAGAAGGAGGGATTATTATGAATTTATTTAATACTATCAACAATGGAGTTAAGAAAACAGCATGAGGAGGGATTTGACTTGACTCATTAGACACAAAAACACTCACCACCACCATGAGTGGAGGAACCCCGGAGGTTCTCCTAATGTGATGTTCTTCTCCCATCGGATCTGCACACAGACAAACAGACAGAGAGAGAGAGAGAGAGAGAGAGAGAGAGGATGCTTCAGAAACGTATTAAGAATAAAAACATGTCTGACATTTGATTTACAGGCTTTACAAGGTTTGAGAGGATGCAAGGGAACTTTTACAGCACATGCCATTATGTAATTATGTTATGACTCTCATACATGGATTCATAAGTGGATAAGTGAGTATATGTGTGCCGGAAAGCTTGTCTTTTTACAAGTGCGGGCCCAAATGTGTTTATGTGTGTGTGTGTGTGTGTGTGTGTGTGTGTGTGTGTGTGTGTGTGTGTGTGTGTGTGTGTGTGTGTGTGTGTGTGTGTGTGTGTGTGTGTGTGTGTTTTACTGAGTCGGAGATGTGCTGAGTCGGATGTTCAAAATCTGTACAGTTCATGCCTGAGGAGGCCAATCAAACCTTTGTAAAAAACACAGAAGTCTTGTCTTCTACCAAATCATCTGCACTGGAGCACTTTTTTCACAAGGTTATGTGAGTACTCGAGTATTTAGATTACAGTAAAGGCCCATCCCAAATTCAATTTTTTGCTGGATTGTAGGGTAAACATATGTGAAGCAGAGAAGTCCTTCTCTCTTCAATTCTTTGAAATTTACACCTATAGGCAGCCTCAACCCAACTTTTCAAACATTTCTCTTACAAAATTAAAATATACTATATGGGCTACTTATGAAATACAAATGAACCATATGTCTTGCTCTTGTGCTGTATAAGCTTATAAGCAGTGGAATCTTTTGAAAAATAAAACAAAATATCTGACACAGACAAAAAAACACACAAAAATTAAAAACAGCAAAAACATACAAACAAACCGGCTCTAGCTGATGTAAATGATTCTGGATCAGCTATTTCCTCGCTATTAAACTAACTTGATGTACTCCAACTTTAAGTACAAACGATATCCGTTGATTGTTTTATCAGGTCATGGTAAATGTGGACTCGGGATGCCATATGGATAGGATGCGGTCAAAAATGAACTAGTAGTTCCCAGTTTTGAATTTGAAAATGTGTCTGATTACACAAGGATATCTGTACACTGGTTTCCCTAAACAAGTTAACAGAGTTTCACACTAAAGTAAGGGGTAGTAGTGGTTACAGAGCTGCTGCACAAGTCATTCCAATAACAACATTTCTACAGTGATGCTCTCAGAATACGTGCACTACCAGGTTTTTCTGAGAAACCTGGTTACTTAAGGACTGTTCAAAATCAGAGGCTCATTTATTTAAAGGAATATGAAGTTTGAATGGTAAACCAGCTGTGTGAAAACAGAAAGATTTAACGATGTAGCAGTAAGGTGATGCAAAGGGTGAACTGTTTTAAGGCGGAGGTGAGGAGGATTGGGGACATAATCTCACACTGCAGTTTAAGTAGTAAACACTTTAGCACCTCTGTTAAGGTGAGTGACTAATTTTACTGACATCACTCACACGAGGGACGGTCAATGTTTGTGAATGATGTCAACTGAGGAGTAGAAAAACTCCCTTCGCAGATCTAACACACTACCAGTGAAACTTCTTCTATCAGATGTGATGTCACTGTTTAGTCTTCCTTCTCTTAAGTGACCACACAATCATCTGTTTTCTATTTCAATCACTATGAAGTTACTATGTTTTAAACATGAAGGTTGTTGTACCTGCTTTACTATCATAAAGAACACGCTCTAAAATAACAGGAACAACTGTATCACTGTACTTTCAGACCGTCCTGACCTCAGCTGCAGATCAGACGCAGTGACTTTTAGAAAGAATGTCTCACTTTGAAGTTGTTTTCAGGGGGGTCAGGAACTGCCTTTCTTTGTTTATCCCACATGGTTGCAGTCTAAGTTAGCAGTTCTGGAGAAGACATCAGTTAGCTTGAAACATTAAAGGCAGCCAAAAGTTCCCGTATACACAACGACAAAGAAGGATTTTCTCCCCCATAATTGTGCACATGGTACAAAAGAAGCAGAATGGGCTTGACATCCCTCATTTCTCACATCTAATTGGCTTTAGCTCAGTCCAAACATGATTGCACGCAGTTCAGGTCAGGACACTTTTTTTTTTATCCCCCCTGCATCTGGAAAGCGTAGAAGAAAATAACATTGGCTGTGCCCGCATATCCTGTCTTCTTGTGTTCTGCATTCCCAGGACGTTCATTCATTTACCTTCAGCATGCTACAGTCAGATGCTTTTAGCATTATTACTGACAGATGTAGGCTGTGTGTTGCAGAGGTTGCTTTTCTTAATCAGAGGACTGAGATTTGGGAAAGCTCTACCCTTAAGTGTCTGGAAAGTTGGCTTGAAAAAGTAAAAATGCATATCAAAACTGAGTCTTATTAACTAGCCAAGTGTTGATTGAAAATAAAGGTTCATAACCTATAGTTTAAAAAAAGGATTTGTTATTCCCACAACAGTGTTCCTTTGATATTTTTATTGTGTACTATTTCATAATAAATACATGGCTATAACCAATTCCAATACCAAATATTACAGAACCTTGAATGCATTTTTTGGTTCTGGATTGAAACTAGTTTCTAAAACTTTGAGATGCTGACTATTAAAATTCATGAACCCTTAAGTACATAGTAAAACATATAATGTGCATTTTTGTCGACAGGGACTTTAGAGGGTCTTTAAGCTTCATTTTAACCATGTCATTGTTGTTGTGACTTTTCCTCCTCATGTATTTTTTTTGCTTAAAACATATTTCACTTACACATTACAATATAATATTTATCTTTCTTCTCTCTATTTGTCTTTCAGGGCTCTTGTTTCTTGCACTTACTGAGGATTTGCTCTAAAAAGATCTGAATGATAAATAAGTAGATAACAGACCTTTTAAGCCATGTTTTCAAGATCAACATTATGGCAAATATTTACCCATGTGTATTAAATACAAGTGGCTATGTTTATACTTGTTGCACTCATATGAGCTAATGTGTTCCCACACTTGAAAATGGCACCGCCTATCCTTTTCATCTTCCACATCTGCAGAAGAGAGAGCAAGTGATATGGCAGATAGGAAAGGGTGTCAGAGAGACAGGGACGTGTGTGTGCGCAGTATGTGAACGAACACACACTCAGTCAAAGTGATGAGAATTGGTGCCAGCTGATGATGTAACCTTTTCCACTCCCCTCTCTTTGTTCTCGTCTTTCTCTTCCCCTGTACAAAATGCCTCCAGCCACTGTCTTCTACATAGTAATTTACCGTCATTTACGACGAAGCACCAGAATCAAGTGACCTCATTTTCACCCCATCACCTTTTTACCTTTGCAGAAAAGAAGAGAAGACTAGCTTCCTGCTGAGGAAGAGTAGTTGAGGGAAAGCTAAAAAAAAAAAAAAAAAGGGAGCGGAAGCATCACTACGAGAAAAGAGCGGGCTCAGAAAGAAATATAATGAGATTGAAAGAGATGGACTGAGATAGAGCTGCTGAGCGGATCACAGAATGATGTCAGCAAAAAACGTCAGCTCCAAGCTGAACATCATAACTGTCTTTGTGCTCCGGCTTTAGCCCCACCAGATGCTAATTTTAAAAAGCTGTCTGTTACTACCTTTTTATTGGCTCACACTGTATGGGTGAGATAATTTAATTAGCATCCACACTTACCGGACACGTATGAGGGGCAGAGTAACCTTCAGAGCAGACACATAAAGTACATGGGCTGTAATCTCAGACAAACACACAAACACAAACAGCTTCTTAGTGACTTACCTCTGAGAGGAAGGTCTGTGCTGACTTCTGTGCTCCTACATGCAGCAGGTACTCGTACACATACAGAGCTAACCTGCCAAAAATCAAAGAACACAGAGGAAGGAATTAGGTCATATTGTTCATTAACATCAAACATTTAACAACAGATGTTGGGTGAGTAAAAAAAAAAAAAAGGCTAGGAAAACAGGCAATTATTGGGGAAATGTGCAAAATGAGAAAGAGGAAGCTGAGATCGAAAAACAGCTATAGGATTTTATAACATCCAAGCAGACACAAGGCATTTTCAATTCCCGAAAGATAGGTTAGGAAACAAATTGTTTGGGAACTTAGACTACTGTACTTATGCTCATTATTTATGATAAACACATACTCAATGGAGTTTCTATCAGGATGGTCTCAAATCATTGAAAGTGCAGGGGATATGTGAGGGCGTCATGCCTCACAAATCTCCTTAGAAACTTAAATAAAAACACAAGCTATGAGCACTATATCTTACGAATGCCAAACAAGCTGGGCAACCTCTCATTAAAACATAAAGACATCTGTAATCGGCCCAAAGTTATGCTTAATATAAAACCCACCTGTTTAAAGAACAAACAGAAGGTGACAATAAGAGTGGGCTTAGTTGGACTGCACTCTAAAACACCTCCACCTCAAACCTCAGGCTCTCCACAGACTTCCTCCAACGGCTTTGATCACAGAAGGAATTAATTACAGGCTTCATTTGTCAATCAATTCTCTTCCCAGTGTGTCTGTACTGGTAAGGCAACTTAGAGTGTGTGTAGGTAGGGGTGGGGGGGTGATGATTTACTTATTCTATAAATACAAGGTAAACATTGATTCACACAGGATCACTGGCAGAGCACACTGAGTCCTGAAGGCACCCTCTAGATTTGAACAGTCCGGTGTATCACTGGAAGTCACTGAGAGATGAGATGGGTTTGTCGTTTGGGCTTGATCCTATAGCATTTCCCTTAACTCAATATTAACCAGGTTAGGGTTGGCTAAGTGTTGTTCCAAAATTAATTATTATTTTGGCGTTTCATATTACCTTGGGTCTGCCGATATCTATCTAGCAATTGTAGAAAACACAAGCTCTTTAGAAGTTGTGTGAGGAGATAAATCAGCACCTATAAGTTAACAAAGCTAATTTTTGATTTATTTGTTGTTGAAATATATCTAAAGAGGGCTTTCATTTTGGACTTGGAAACTAGAAATAATATAATTATAAACTTGATTTCCAAAATCAATGTATATTTATTGTCAGTCTATCAACTAAGGAGCACACAAATCAAGTCAGCTAGTCATAAAACATGGAAACATGCAACAGCATAAGCTGTGCCTCAAGCTTGTTGCACATGTTTGTTTGTACATGTGTATGATTGTGTGCAGCCAGATATGAAGGATGGTCACACTTGAACAACAGCTGTCCTAGAACCCTGCTGAAAGGTGCTACTAGCCAGCTGTTGCTGATCCAGACTCCTATATTAAGGTAAAAATAAACTCTCCAGACAGCACTGTCTGCCTGTCTGAACATGATGGACCACTCACCTTTCTGGTCCGCACATAGGCTCTCTTTTTCTCTCTCTCCTACTCTCCTTCATTTCCAGCTCAATACTTCATCACTTTTATCCTCTACATTCCCTTCTTCTCCACCTGCCCCTCTCTCTCTGTCTGCATTTTTTCTGTCTTGATGGCTTTGCTTCCTCTTGTACTCTTTTTGATAAGGGGCCATGTTTGTTTAATGATGAAAGAACTTAGCAGCAGAAGTTTCTTCTCTTCCTCTCTATCCTCTCTCTGTCCCCCCCTGTGGCTTGGCTCTAATGTTTAACCAAAGCGATAGAGATAAAATGTTTCACAGGGACAAGGTTAACAGAACAGTGAGAGGCTTGACAAAACTCTTGACACCTCGACAACTGAGCATGAATAAAAGATGCGTACATTTTTTTAGGCACTGTATAACCCTGAACATATCTAGGAACAAACTATTTCAGTTGCTCTGTGTCGCCTCTGTGTCAATCTGGGAACCCCCACATCAGCATCAGTGTTATTAGATATCATGTATCTGCAGTGAAAACATTCACAACAACCATCACACGCTTAATGGACTGCATGAATGAATTCATTGTGTAAATTAAGAACTAAAAGCTTGGCCTTAGCATGCATTGGCCCGAATCCGATTGACTTTTATTGCACAAAAACAGCCTCACTTAGTAGCTTCTGAAAAGGTTTGACCTACGATTGATTTCAAAGGAGCAGTAAATGTGACCTTTGACCCTGATATTGAGGACGGGTAAAGTAAAGAAATGCATGAAAAGTTGAAGAATGAGAGCAGTAGTGGCAAGAAAAGTGATCTGATGAAAAACATAAAAACAAGAGGACAATAAAGGTAAGCGGGCTCAAGTTTTGGAGTAAAGAAAAAACAAGAAGGTCCAACACATTTTTTAAAAGCACAACACCTGCAGAAATACACACATAAATCAAACTCAAACCACTCCTCTCAAATGTCTTATTTGCTTAACATGCACCAACAAGGGCAGGGTTGAAACAGGGCTGATAAGCAGGCAGCAAAGCAGCAGAAGAAGACAATTTGTTAGCATTTAATATCTACTGAACTTTAACTTAGAACTACTAATGTCCTCATAGAAGAAGAGTGATAGGCTTTGAAAACACACAAACCCCCTCGAGCTGCTCCCTCATTGTTCAAAAACCCCTTGTTCAGCTGAGCTCAACGCTAAAAAAAAAAGAAGCATCAAACTTAGAACTCAAGTGAGTCAGAATACGCAGTGGAGATAAGGTTTGAGGATTAGAGGACGGGGGCTGTTCAAGGTTAAGAACCTTCTAAATTTCACAAAATAAAGTGAACACATTACTAAGGCTCGCTTTTCATTATATAAACTGTCACTTCAAATCATCTATGTGTTGGGATTTGAGGTAAAAGTGCTCAAACTGAGGTAGCTAATGCATTTCTAATGGTTCATGACTCCAAATTGGCACTTTTTTGTGTTCGTCCCTGCTGTCAGACAAACTTCAGAAAATTGAGGACATATTTTATTTCCTTTTCGTTTAAAGTGGCAATTTGTGTTGTAACCACTTTACATGAATCACTGCAACCAGGATGATTGGAGGGATCAGGTGTCTCCCACTTTGCCTCCTTTTATACATTGGTGAACCGTGTGGGTTTACAAAAGTGTCTCTGTGTGTGTTGATGTGTGAATGTGTATGAAGAGAGAAGTGGGCAAAATGGGGAACTCTAAGATATACACCTGACCCCACTCTCCTTCAAATTCAAGTGCTTTTGTCTGCTGTGAGTCACTTTTAATTAAATTCATATTTGCAAGAGACCCCCTTCCTGGCTGCTCCTGTAAATCTGCACACGCCCAGACCGCTGCCGAGCTCCAACAGTCTGCTTAGCTTAATGAAGTCAGCAGGCAGAAACAGTGCTTCTATGTTGCTTTGTTACTGAGAGGAGAACAGGGGGATGAGAACAGCTTGCAGCTCAACCACAGCCTCAGCTGCTTTAGACAACGACATGAACTGTTTCTTCCAACATCAGCATTTAGGAAGGACCAGTAGATCACTGCTAATCAATTTACTGCCATGGCGATCAAAGTCTGGCAGAGGTTCAAATCACAACAGACAAAAGACTTCAGTGATTGGATTTGCATTTTAAAGATTAGCTTCAGATAATTTCACCCTTGTTATAGATGAAAAGGCAAAGTGATTATTCTTCTGATTTGAATCAGCATGTTAATTGGCATATTTACATGACTTGCTACTGTTCTGACATAGCATACTGACACATATTTTAGTAAGAAAATCAAATTAAATATTAAAACTTTCTAGACAAAATCCTGCCTGTAAAAACACCATCTCAAACAATGACGCAAAAACAGTCATTAAAAATCAGAGATACCTTGCTCGTACAGTATATTAGATGTATCATGTCCTTAATCATTACCATCCTTGTGTAAGCCTCATTTTTTGTTGTAAGCTCCAACTTGTATCTGTTAAAGTAGAACCTGAATATGCACTTCTGTAAAAAAAATAAATAAATAAAGTACATTATATCATCTGACAGCAACAACAGCAAAAATAGAGACTGTAGCATCTCACCTCCTGTGAGCAGATATTTACAATTTGCCCAAATGTAATTCTAGTGTTAGGTGTTGGGAATGCCGGAAACTCATCTTTACTCAAAGGAAGTGATTAATACAACCTAAAATAGTTATGAAGATATTTTGAAGGTATGAAAATATTTGTTCATTTTCATACATGGTATGTCATAAAGACCGACTATACAGAAAACAAGTGGACTTCTTTAAACTGTTGGTGGTTGCTTGATGAGCTATAAACATCACTGCCACCTTCAATAGTTGATATTGTGAGCTTTTCAGCAAATATTAATTTGTATTTTCTTCCTGCTCTGATTTCCACCTTGTGAATTAAACTTCTTTAAGCTCTGTTTTGTTAACTTCTGCTTAATACTTGACTTACTTCACCAGGTAGTTAACGGTTCTTGCTTAGTGATTATCTGGATTTGGGGACTTTTTCCCCACCTAAAGATGAGAAAACTCAAACTGATCCTTATATGAATGATAACAACATGTGTTACACTGACGATTGTGATCCATTTGAATGCAACGTAATAAAATTCAATTAATATTGAAGTGAACTTAAGTTTAATTACTTCCTAAGTTCTTAAAAAAGAAAACAACAGTGAGAACAAGAGGGAAACAACATCACATGATTTGCAATGGTTTTGCATTTATATCAATGCAGCAATGTAGATTCTTGGTCTTAGATGGCATAAATCTGCATGGGCTAAAACAAGTTAACGTTCAGGTAAATAGGTGTGGGTGAGTGTGAGCGTGGCTGGTTGTCTATATGTCAGCCCTGTAAATCACTGGCGATCATTTAAAATAAGATTTTATTTTTGCTATGGGTAAATGTAGATAACTGGATAGACAATTAAAAGAAAAAAAGAACAAACATCACGAGAGAGAGGCCTACTCCCTCTGTAACCCCTTTGGAGGAATGAAAAGGGAGATGGGGGACAGGAGTATAGCAGAG